TAAAAGGAAACTCACTATGACTTTTCAGCCGAATCTTCGTCAGATGAATGATCTACTGCGCTGATTCACTACTGACGTCATCTTGCTTCTGCAAGTCTGAAAATTGATGACGTCAGGAGTGAAACAAAACAGGCGGGAAGACGGATCCTTCCACCTTCACCGGGCCCAAATAGAGTCGATGCGCCCTGATGTGTGCAATAACACCTATACACCGCTCACAAAGTAGCCCTGCTCCTTATCCAATATGCGCAGCAGAAATAATTTTCCACAGTGCTTACACATTTGAATTCATTCACTTAGAAGCCATATGGGCCTATTCATAGATGTATTTAATTTACTGAGTTACAAAAAAATTCTCTTTTGCCGACGACAGCGGCTGGACCACCTGGTCCCCCTGGACCTCCCGGCGGCCGAGGTCCCCCGGGCTCTCAGGGACCACCAGGGGCCAAAGGTTCCACCGGACCACCGGGTGCAACGGGCCCTCCGGGATCCGTGGGGCCACAGGTACATATTCGTACACGCTTTTTTCTACAGCCCTCATCGTCACTACTTCTTAGAATTTTGGTAGTAATAATTTGTATCTATTATTACTTATATTTTAGATTTATGTATGTTTTTTATCTGGACAGGGGGCCAGTAAAGGCATCTGCCTGTTCCCCCTGTCCTGTCCTTGTGACAAAGTTTAAATAAAAAATAATAATAATTACAGTCCGGTCTTAAGTTTGACATCTTTGAAGAGGCGATAGTCCCCTGTTATGTCAATCCTTCCATAAATGTGATTAATCTTCATAAATAGATAAATCATCATTGCTAGAGGAAGAACAATGTATTTCTCTTGGAAATATGGCGTAGATGGCTAGAAAATAAACAAAGGGGATAAAACCCACGAGATAGAGAATACGGGCGTGAAAATCATGACAAACTTAAAATGCCAACCAAGACCAACAACCAACTAACACCCCCCTTGCACCATAGCTATTCAGCTAAAGCAGACGTAGAAAACCTGGTATTTATAATCATTGATATCATTTCTACAGTAGTGACATGGCGAGCATCATTAAATTACTACTAAAAATACTGGAAGCTACGCCATAATTCCTTAACTTCCAAACCGTAGAATGACCACCAATTATAGTTCGTTCTAAAATAATTCTAGCTATGATTTCATTGTAATAAGATGTTCATTGTGTATTAATTTTTCAGGGGCCAAAGGGAGCACGTGGTAATACTGGATCACAGGGTCAAATGGGAGCCACAGGCCCGCCTGGCCCACGTGGTTTGGCCGGTCCTCCAGGTGCAAGAGGTAACGCACAACTACATTCAGTTCCAAATATTTCAAGAGAAATGTTAATAGCCCATTACTTTGATGTAAAATTTTGAAGGTACCCACAATAATGTATTAAAAATTACGGGGGAGAATTCACGTGTAACGCCATTAATAATCAAACATTGGTGTTTTTGTTTGTTGATGTTTCTATACGTCAACTAAGAGCACACAATACAAATTTACTGAAACAACTAGATAGCTTTTGCAAACTGTCAAACTTCAATCGAGCATCCACTTCTTTTCAGTGAAGCAAAGGATGTTAGAGTTTTCTGTGTACCTCATTACATGTACCTCTCACACAATCTCAAACAATCTCAAGCAATCACTTACCTCATTACTTAGTTGTATATAGAATAGGATAGGTTAAGTAAGTAATTAGTTACAGGTTGTTGTATTTTATGACTAGCAATAAGCAAGTGTACGTCTGTGTTTAAGTCTGTAACGTGTTTTTAAGATTCCAGGAAGAATAGTGAGTATAAGCGTACACTCACTAATGGAGATCATTCAAATAAACATAAACATAAACCGATTAGTAGATGTCTAATATCCATTGATCACACAGAACACACTTCTTGCAAAAAAAAATATATTACTGACATTAATTTTGCTCTCCACAACATCAGGGCCAGTGGGACCGAAAGGCGCAGAGGGAGCCAGGGGAGTTCCCGGCATCAAGGGACCGCCTGGCCCGATGGGGGCTAAGGGTACGTCTGATCTGTATTCAGTTGTTTGAAGCAACAGTGATTACATTTGATGTTGTGTCCATATACAATCATTCAAAGAGTCGTTATTAACATGTTAGTGTGTATGATAAATATTCCTTTCACGTGTATCATAAAATCTATCACATGTTATTTGTTAGCTATTTGAAAAAGAATGACCTTTAACCAGTCAGTGCAGGCAATTAAAGCTGTACCATCAGTTATTGCAGTCAGAAAACTCTTCCAATTGATTTTGCTTCTTTGTTTAGGTGATCGGGGGACTCCAGGTAACAATGGCGCTCCAGGACAGAGAGGTGGTCCGGGGGCAAAGGGACAAACTGGTGACAAGGGAGCGACGGGAAACGTCGGGCGGACTGGTGAGATTTATTTTATCCGTAACAACAATTAGTTGTTACGGAGGCATTGTTAAGGGGATAGATAATGACTTTACAATGTTTTATATTGATATTTTGTGGTATTGATATAGTAGTATTAATATTTTGTGATTAACAGTTGGAACACAAATTGTTTCACTAAACAAGCTTTTTTTTTCAAAGCAATGTCTAATCATAACGACTGTAAAATGATACGGATATTTCTCGTTATGCTAGGACCAAAGGGAATAGCAGGCGAACGAGGTGAAACTGGTATTAAAGGGGACACGGGTAAGTCGTATCACGCACACCCCGTTTAACATATAAAAACCCAGTATACAATAATTGAATAGGTAAAACTATTCTAATACAATGTACAATCGCCAATATGTTTTATTGTACGATTAAGCAAGAAATGGCATAATATTCTAACATGAAGCTTCATCTGTGTTGGTAGTTTATATGGTACAAAGCAGGTGATAGGAAGAGTGGAGTAGGTCAAATATATATAT